AGCTTTATTTTAATAACGAAAACTTAAGTGAGAAAAAACCCAGGCGCCTAGGATTGATTAGGGACCCTGATGCTTAGTTTTCATAGTAGATTCATCACTGACTTTAATTTTGAAGGTCAAGTTAAAAGAAAAGAAAGTACGTCGTATATACGTAGTAGGTAATGGCTGCTCCTGTTACTGCTATGCAGTAACCACTTATTTAAGACGTTGCATACTGAAAAAAAGCAAGATGGAAACTTCTTGGACATATTTTGCGAATGGATCCCGAATGCCCAGCTAACAAAGCCATGGAGTTTTACTTTGAAAAAACTGCCTTCAAAAAGTTCAGAGGTCATCGAAGAACCACCATAGTTGAACCGAGACATTCAAAGAACAAAGCAGAACGATACAACTTTTCCTTTGGAGAAGTTTACAATCAAGGAAGTTCTGCAACGAATCCGCAAACTCGCAGGACAGAGAAGGCTGGCATAATATTGTCGAATCAGTATACAATGTCACTCAAGATGAGTGAACATATTAATTCATGATCTCAGATCGAAACAGGTTTGATTATGATGATATACCGTAAAAATTTGTCAACATTTTCATTATACAGAATTTTTATTTTAGTCAATAGTTTTGTTTTCTCTTTATAATCGTATTTATTTTCTTAGCTTCGGGTTGGACAGGAGTATTTATAGCGACTCTATCCTTCAACACTTAACGCTAAGAATTTCTGGACGACTGATGTGGGTGTTGGTAAATAGTGAACGAAAGTCTTGCTGTCTTGAGAGAACCTCGAAAGCAATTGTGGAAATGCGTATAAGGAAGAGGAAAGTAGCGTTATTATTAATGAAATCTGATAATGGTAAAATCATTACCGACAGAAGAACGACACGCATTTCCTTTGGTGAGCAGATTGCCAGGAAGTAGGCATGGCATGCGGATGGTTGCTGGCTTCATTAGAAAGGCTAAATGTTTACGCACTTTTACTAATAATGTTGAAAACATTTATCTCCCCACCATCTCTCTTTATATATATATATATATATATATATATATATATATATATATATATATATATATATATGTGTGTGTGTGTGTAAGATGTGTGCAGATAGTGCAGGAGTTAGCAACTCGGAACGAGGAGCTGAATTCCAGTTCCTGCATAGTTCGTTATATTCACATGCCCTTGGGAAAGGTATGAAGCAATCTCTTCAGGCTGGGATCCTTACCCATGGTTGGCAACCAGTCTAGTAGAAGGACAACTGAATTCAAAACTGGTTAGGCATGAGGCGAGCATATCAATCCCGTGAAAATCTGGTTGCCACGTCGAATAGGTTGGAGCTATGAGCGTATGCTGCACAGCGGAGTCTACAGAGCTTGCTATCTGTCAAGTTATATCAGAAAGAGAAAGACGAAGTGTGCGAGAGAGGGAGAATGTGAAGAGAGAGTGCATGTGTTGGAGAGAGGGGAAGTGAGAGAGATGATATTGTTATTTATAGATTGATACTGATAATTTTAAGGGCAATTAATGGAAGAAACAGACAAGACCAGGACAGACGTATGTAGACAGATAGACGTATGTAAATATACAGCGTGGACATAGAAATGAACCCTGCATGGTGACTGTCAGTTTCACGATTCATTGCAAATTTTAGACCAAGGTAATTTATTTTAGTGCGGAAAAAATGTGAAACCAAAACCTAAAGTGGAGATGGGGGGGTGTTATTCATTAATTTTTCGCTGCACTCTGGCTAGTCACAATCAATGATATATGTTGTCCCCCCCCTCCCTAAGAAAAGTTATATTTCTCCGACGTATTGCAGACATTATCACACTTTCTTTATGAAGCCCTAACTCGTCTCACATGCAGTTTCCGTGGTGACACGGATACAAAAATTAATAAATATATACAATTAAAGAGAGTGGATAGATAGAATGTACATAGGAATCAACACTGCATGGGGACTTAATTTCAGGCTTCAATGAGATCAACCCAAATGCCACTACTTTAGCGGCCTGTATACCTTATAAGGAAACATTCGGTATCCATTTGCCAAGTGCTGATGCCAGCGGAAATTTATAAAATCTTTCTTTTAAAACAATTTTCCAGGGTAACAGATTTCGAGTCCAGTAACTGTTATTACCCCTTCAAGTATTGATGAAGAGAAGACTTGAGGCAGCAGAAAAATGGTTCTACAGAATGATACTGAGGATACTATGGACTGAACATGTAAGCAACGATGAAGTTTTAGAGAAAATGGAACAAAAAGGAAAATTATATTTAACATCAGAAACAGAGATTTTAAATTTTTAGGGAACGTAATGAGGAAAGAGTACTTGGAAAATCTGATACACACAAGACAGATTGAAGGCAAGAGGGACAGAAAAACGCAGCTTGTGGAATAACGTTTCGGAGAGATAACAGAAAGACAGCATTTAAGAACTACACAAGACAGAAAATTGTGGAGAGCCACGATCGTCAGTGTCCTTAAGGAACACGGCACATATAAGATATTTTAGTGATAGCTTTTTTTTCCCAAATGTCATTGTTCAATACACTATAGTTGTTCGTAAATGTCTTATTCCATTCGGTATTGATGAAATCCTTACAATAATATTTACCGTTTCCAAAGCTATTAACTCAGATATTTATATCAAGTCTGGATTTTGCTTTTATAAATTTTTGACTTTTGAAATAAAAGTTTCATCCATCTCAGCCCTCCCGTCGCAACAATGGATTAAATAACAGTTTAAACTTGGATATCTAGCCTTGGATGGCAGCCAGTCTAAGAGAAGGATTTCTCCCAATTCAAAATCAGAAGGAAAGCAACGAGAAATTACGCCAATTTACGAATAAAGAAATGGGATCTGTGGAGATCCATAATTGCTTATCTCTTGAATGGAACTTTTTCTATGTGCTGTGTCCCTTCCGGATGCTGGCGGATTAGAGCTTTTCATAATTTCCTCTACTTTGTAACTCTTAATAAATTTTTTCTTTTTACTATTTTTTCTAAACTTTGTTCCACCATCCATTTACTCAAGGTATTTTAGTGATAGCTTTTTTTCTAATGTCGTTGTTCAATGTGTACACTATAGTTGTTCGTCCAATGTCTTATTTTTCCATTCGGTATTGATGAAATTATTCCTATAATATTTACTGCTTCCAAAGCTATTAACTCAGACATTCTTATCAAGTCCGGATCTTTTCTGCTAATTCACCCCAAATAATGTAAAGTTACTTATCGCTAATATTGATTCACCCCAAGAAATTATTATAAAGTTTTTTTTTTTTGCTTTGTTAAATTTTTGGCACTCTTTTGAAATGAATTTTAAGTCAAAATTTGTTCTGCTTGCCTCGCAACATCTCCAACCCGCAGAATGAAATATTGCAAAAAAATCACGGAATTATGCACATTTCGTACGTGCAGGTGTTATTCGACGTAATTACAAGGAATTTTTGACAATTTAAAAAAATATTGTTTTGGGGTTGTTTATCGGGTTGAGCGCGAACGTAGACCCCACACTTAGAAATAGCGCACCCAAGTCATCCACATTTGGGGCGATCGAAAAAGATCACCCAAACCGGAATGCAATAAAAGGGCTTAGCTCTGGGTGAATTTTAGTAAATATATATATATATATATATATATATATATATATATATATATATATATATATATATATATTATTTGGGGTGAATTAAGGAAAAAAAGATCCTCAAGTCCTGTTTTGATTTTGGTTTCTTGGAGACAAGGTATATTTTTAAAGTTATTTCATCCTAAGCAAGGCAATAAAGTCACGAAGTTGCAGAGGGTTACTGAATATGAGAAAAGGAAAACATCCAGGAGAGAGAGAGAGAGAGAGAGAGAGAGAGATAAAAGAATAAGATCAACTTTTCAGGAGAAAAAGGACAAAATAATTAACACTGTCGGTTGTCTATAGCAATACAAACTGGCCAGAAGGTGGCTAAGATATAAGTGGACTCGGGGTTGTCCACGAGAAGCATATACAGGAACCCATGTGTGACAGTGCATTGCAAATGGACCGACATCACGTGACTGTTGACAAGCGCAGTTTTCCCAAGCAAGCGTCAAAGAACCCGGGTTCCCCATCACCAGTCGAGATGAAGCAACCAGAAAACCACCAATTTGGTATCCTCACAAAAAAAAAAAAAAATCACAATAGCTGATCAGTCAGATGACCAAAAAGATTAAATTATTAAGGCCGTGGAAGAACCGGTAAACAATATCCTAAACAGGAAAAAAAGGGATAAACCTCTACTTTTGCTCAATAAACATATTTAGTCGGATGAAACACGTCACACGAAACCTTTTTTCCCCCCTATTTTGTAACAGATTTTCCTAAAATTGTTCCTGATGTATAGACATTCATATATCGTTTTCCCAGACAATATATCAATGTTATAACTATCAAGGTCCCAAGCCAATAATGCCTGCTCTTCTTTTTTTTCACGAGTCTCTAACATTAAATATCCGGATGCTAAAAATATTTATATACGATTGGAAGCACTTACAAAGTTTTAGGTAAGGTTCCAACTGGAGAAGTCATTACTTTCTCCGTCAAAAACTCAACTACTTAACCAATTTGTTCAATGCAATCATCTTGAGTGAATTTCTCTTTCGTTCATTTTTTGCCCAACTATTTGTCGTCTGAATGTTCGGAATGTTTTTTTGTTTTTGTTTTTTTTTTTCTTAAGTTTTCTGGTATTTATCCTGGCGTCTTTTATTTCGTTTCGTCGACATTCCACCGAAAGATTTCTTCTTTTACATACGGTCCTTATACACGAAGAAACACAGAGGGAAGAAATATTTGCGCAACAGAAATGAATAAAGAAATAAGACAAGTTTTTAAGGAAACAAAATGTTGAGGGTTGAGTAAGAATCAACCAAGTGATGACTTTTACAAGAGCAGCTGATGACTCGATATCGTTTTAACAGTGCAGATGAAGGAAAGAGACACTTAAGTGCTTATTAATAGGTTGGAATTTTTCCTACTTCCTATAAGGGGATAGACAGGCTGAGATAGACGAATACACATATATACGGGAAGAAAGGACAGAGAAAAACACAAAGGGAGAGAGAAAAAAAAACAAGAGCGAGAGAGAGAGCGAGAGAGAGAGAAAACAAGAGAGAGAGAGAGAAAAAAAAACTAAGAAGAGAGAGAGAAAAATGAACTAAGAAGAGAGAGAGAAAAATAAACTAAGAAGAGAGGGAGAAAAATAAACTAAGAAGAGAGAGAGAAAAATAAACTAAGGAGAGAGAGAGAAAAATAAACTAAGGAGAGAGAGACGAAAAAGAGAGAGAGAGAGACGAAAAAGAGAGAGAGAGATACGAAAAAGAGAGAGAGATATGAAAAAGAGAGAGAGATACGAAAAAAAGAAGAGAGAGAGATACGAAAAAAAGAGAGAGAGAGAGATACGAAAAAGAGAGAGAGAGAGAGATACGAAAAAGAGAGAGATACGAAAAAAAGAGAGAGAGATACGAAAAAGAAAGAGAGATACGAAAAAGAAAGAGAGAGAGAGAAGAGACGAAAAGAGAGATAGAAAGAAGAGATCCGAGATAAAATAAATAAATATCTGTTTATCCATCAACATTTTTAATTAAAAAAATTTGGATTCCTCCAATAAAGACTTGAAACTATCAAGACTGTAGCACGTGGGCGATCATGGCTCTCCACTATTCCCTATCCTTCGGCATTCTTAGAAATATTTGTCCCCTCATCCTTCCTCCCAATCCATTGTCTGCCATCTTTTTTACAAATATTCGTTAGGTTTCTCGTGGTTTCTCTTCGTCTCCTGTTACTTACAATGTCTTGTGAGTGTCAAATTCTCCAAACCCTCTTGGATGTGTTCAGAAATTTCAATTACCTCTTTCAGATTCCAGGTATAACCGTCATATTTTTTAAATTTCAATTTTCCTTAAGCCTTCCTACCTGCTCACATATTCCATCCATTTTCAGAATCCTTTTGTAGAACTACATCTCTATTGTCTCAACTGTTCTCTTCATCTGTGAAGAAATTGTCCACCATTCACTGCCATAGAAGAGCTCTGATATTACGTAATAGTTCAACAGCCTTTTCTTTGTTTCTAATGAAATGGTCTTGTTTCTTTATACTTTGCTTAGCTTTTGGAAGGCATCTTTTCGTAATCCCATTTTTCCGCTCAGAAATATCAAATTTGTACTTAAAAATACTATCTCTGGTATATTTGCCTGTCGAGTGTTACTAGTTGTGCATTTATGCCTCCCTTTGGATATCTCAGTTTCAGTTAATTACCCTTGATAGCTCAACTCGCCAAGTTTTTGTTCCCTCTGCCGTGGACAGGTATTGAACTTATGGCACGTGGAATTAGAACAATCTACTCCCGTGGACTAAATAAAGGGTTCGGTCCGAAATTCTAAATATCACCTGAAGAAGGACGGAGCGTACAACGACCGAAACGTCGTGAATATGGCAATAAAGACGAGGAAATCAGCTTGAACAATGGAAATAGTGTAAACAGTTACAACACATCAACTCAGGTGTATTTATTGGGTTAACCGATGGTGAATGAAGCCGCAGGAAGATAGAAAATGTCTTCGTCGATCATGGCTTTCCACAACTTCCTATCCTTTGTAGTTCTGAGCAATGTGTGTCTCCTTGATATACTTTCCAGTTCATTTACACAAGCTCGTTAGATAAGTTATTCACCATTGACGTGTCTCTCTCTCTCGCCTTCAATATGCCTAGTGAGTACTTAATTTTCCAAGCCTTCTTTCCTCATTAGGAATAAGAAAAACATTAAACCGTCCCTTTCTGATTTTCAATGTGACTGGTTTCCGTTTTTCTCTGAAACTTCAACACTGAGTAATTGAGTAAACGGACGTATCGTGTCACTATCAAATGAAAGAAGTTCAACAAAGCATATGGGTATAACGATAAACTATATCCGGCAGCAAGGCCTCTGACCGGGAGCCTGAAACCACTTCTTAATTGCTATTGTTCACATGTTCATCCTAACCCGAAGTGGTAGCATAAGTTAGGGTCCCAGCTATGGGTACAAACAAAAACACTATGAAAGTATAAAATATATTTTAACAGTAAAAATACAATCAATACATTTTTTGTATAAAAAAGACCAACAATACATTTTATGTAATTGAAAGGATGCTATTGCGTAGTTGAAGCCATAAAATTGTGTTCCAAATATTTAGATTTCGGCATTAAATAACCCATAGAGATGTTGATATGCCACTAAACAAAATGACCAACATTACATTTTATCTGTAGTTAAAGGTATACAATTACGTTCAAAACATTTAGCTGAAGCCATAAAATTGTGTTCAAATTATTTAGATTTTGGCATTAAATGACCCATATAGATTGATACGTCACTAAACAAAATCAACAACAAAGCATCACAACACCCAAATTTTTTACTCCCTGAGATTTCGGGCTGACGGTGTTCGTTGAAAGGCTGGAGATTTTGAAAGCGTCGATGAATTTAGAAAAGAAGGCGATAACTGGTGACAGTCCCGAAAATATAATCTACAGACTTAAAGAAAAAAATAAAAATAAAATAAAACCCAAAAAACTGTGACGCTAGGATTAATTTCCTTAATATTAAAGGGTGAGATCATTTCCGGACAGATCTTGTAAATAAAAGGTAAGAAACTATAGTTATATCAGAAAGCGTAGGCGTTTGACATAGTGAGAAGAAGAAAGGTGACAAGTGAGAACGAGAGAGAGAAAAGCCTAATAGGTTTCTGGAAGCGTACAGCCAACTATTGTTGTTCAACAGCATTTCATTCATTTGTTTTGGAAGTAAACGAGGCGGAGAGATAACTGGCTTCACCTGAGAAAGGACTGCTATGCTTCAACTGTCATTGAAAGTGTTAGTCGAAGCGTGTCTCAGATTTCAGTATTTTGAGAAAAATAGTTGTTTCGTGTCAGAAGCTGGGCTTTGTACGATGCGAAAGAGAAAACGTGGTGCATTGGAATTTAAATGAATGACAAAAGAAATGTCAAAATGTTACTGAAAACAGTACATTGATAAATCTGATTTTTTTCTGGTGGGAGTTGGTGAAGAGAAGAATTATAAAAAACATTAAGGAGAAAGAGAACAAGTAGTCGGGGAGAGAGAGAGAGAGAGAAAGAAACAGATAGTCGGGTAGAGAGAGAGAGTGAGAAACTGACAGTCGGGTAGAGAGAGAGAGAAAGAGAAAGAAACTGACAGTCGGGTAGAGAGAGAGAGAGAAAGAGAAAGAAACTGACAGTCGGGTAGAGAGAGAGAGAGAGAGAGAAAGAGAAAGAAACTGACAGTCGGGTAGAGAGAGAGAGAGAGAGAGAAAAAGAAAGAAACTGACAGTCGGGTAGAGAGAGAGAGAGAGAAAAAGAAAGAAACTGACAGTCGGGTAGAGAGAGAGAGAAAAAGAAAGAAACTGACAGTCGGGTAGAGAGAGAGAGAGAAAGAGAAAGAAACTGACTGTCGGGTAGAAAAAGAGAAAGAGAAACTGACTGTCGGGTAGAAAAAGAGAAAGAGAAACTGACAGTCGGGTAGATAGAGAGACAAAAACTGGTATTCGGCTAGAGAGAGAGACAAAAACTGGTATTCGGCTAGAGAGAGAGAGAAAAAACTGGTATTCGGGTAGAGAGAGAGAGAGAGAGAGAGAAAACTGGTATTCGGGTAGAGAGAGAGAAAAACTGGTATTCAGAGAGAGAGAGAGAAAAAAACTGGTATTCGAGAGAGAGAGAAAGAAAAAAACTGGTGAAAGGGCAGAGAGAGAGAGAAAACTGGTATTCGGAGAGAGAGAGAGAAAAAAAACTGGTATTCGGGTAGAGAGAGAGAGAAAAAAAACAACTGGTATTCGGTTGAGAGAGAGAGAGAGAAAAAAACTGGTATTCGGGTAGAGAGAGAGAGAAAATCTGGTATTCGGGTAGAGAGAGAGAGAGAGAAAAAAACTGGTATTCGGGTAGAGAGAGAGAGAGAACTGGTATTCGGGTAGAGAGAGAGAGAAAAAACTGGTATTCGGGTAGAGAGAGAGAGAGCGAGAGAGAGAGGGAGGAAAAAACTGGTATTCGGGTAGAGAAAGAGAAAAAAACTGGTATTCGGATAGAGAGAGAGAGAGAAAAAAAACTGGTATTCGGGTAAAAAGAGAGAGAGAAAGAAAAAACTGGTATTCAGGGAGAGAGAGAGAGAAAACTGGTATTCAGGCAGACAGAGAGAGAGAAAACTGGTATTCGGGTAGAGAGAGAGAGAAAGAGAAAAAAAACTGGTATTTGGGTAGAGAGAGAGAAAAACTGGTAAGAGAGAGAGAGAGAAAAAACTGGTATTCGAGGTAGAGAGAGAGAGAGAAAAAACTGGTATTCGAGAGAGAGAGAGAGAGAGAGAAAAACTGGTATTCGGAGAGAGAGAGAGAAAAAACTGGTAGAGAGAGAGAGAGAAAAAACTGGTATTCAGGTAGAGAGAGAGAAAAAACTGGTAATCGGGTAGAGAGAGAGAAAAAACTGGTATTCGGGTAGAGAGAGAGAGAGAGAGAGAGAGAGTGTGTGAAAACTGGTATTCGGGTAGAGAGAGAGAGAGAAAAAACTGGTATTCGGGTCGAGAGAGAGAAAAAAACTGGTATTCGGGTAGAGAGAGAAAAAAAACTGGTATTCGGGGAGAGAGAGAGAGAGAGGGAGAAAAAAACTGGTATTCGGGTAGAGAGAGAGAGAGAAACTGGTATTCGGGTAGAGAGAGAGAGATAGAAAGAAAAAACTGGTATTCGGGTAGAGAGAGAGAGAGAGAAAAAACTGGTATTCTGACAGATAGAGAGAGAGAGAGAAAACTGTTATTCGGGTAGAGAGAGAGAGAAAGAAAAAACTGGTATTCGGGTCGAGAGAGAGAGAGAGAGAAAAAAAATGGTATTCAAAACTGAAAGAGAGAGAGAGAAAAACTGGTAAGGTCAGAGAGAGAGAGAGAGAGAGAAACTGGTATTCAAAGAGAGAGAGAGAGAGAGAAACTGGTATTCGGGTAGAGAGAGAGAGAGAAAACTGGTATTCGGGTAGAGAGAGAGGGAGAAAAAACTGGTATTCGGGTAGAGAGAGAGGGAGAAAAAAACTGGTATTCGGGTAGAGAGAGAGAGAGAGAGAGAGAAAAACTGATATTCGGGTAGTGAGAGAAAAAACTGGTATTTGGATATAGAGAGAAAAAACTGGTATTCGGGTAGAGAGAGAGCTAGGGACAGAGAGATAATGAGATTAAGATACACGGACAGACGCACAAAAACTGACTGGGATGCGCAGAGAAGCGGAAAGAGACAGACAAAACAGACTGAATTGTACTAAGAGTCAGAAGGACGGATGCACAGACAAATTTCAATAGACTGACTTATATTAAATAGAAGTAGGTTAGATAAAAACGCGACACAGGCACAAATAGACTGAGATCCGAATATAGATTGCGATAAACTGAGAAATACCTATAAATCTATGCAGGCACAAAAGTCTTCTTTCCTTATTTATTTTAACGTGCATATATCATATTGCTTGAAAAGTGGTATGACATTTTAAATATGTTAATTTCGCACAAACGACTGCAAATGTATAAAGTTCAACAGTATACGACGAGGCCTCTGAGATTGGATCAATAATTCCGTACCTTTTTATCTTAAATTTTCACGGTATTACATTCGATCTATGAGATTATTCACAAAAAATATTTGTGTAAAATAAATGTATATCTCTCGATTTATTATCCTAAAGATGAATAAATGTATTTTAACCTAACGATTATCAAATAAGTGGTACTTGACTATGTGGGTGAATTTTAGCTAGGGGTTGTCTTGAAAAGGAATGACCGTCATGAATGTAAACGGGAAAAAAGTGAAGGGACAAAATATTCGTAACAATAGAGAAAAACGGATTCAGACGTGTCTCGCATGTAAAATATTCCCAAAAAGGAAAATGGCGGCTTTACTAGTCGTATATTTAAAAGAGATAGATCTCGGAGTCGGATAGACTTTTGCGAGAATCTCTGAACATATGTAAATATGATATATATATATATATATATATATATATATATATATATATATATAAAAGAGGTGACAGCGAGAAGTGCTACTGTTGTTGCGTTCAGGAGACACGTGTTGCTCATTGATCGCGCATACGCATGTGACAATGTGTCGCCCCCGCATTCTGTACTGAAACGGATGGTGTTTCTGTCGCTGTTAGCCACGGCTCGAGTGTTGATTTGAACGACGCGATTGGAGGAAATTTTTTTGATGTGAACGTTATTCTCATCAGGATCTAATTCGATTCTTTGAGCATCAGCTCAGGATGAAGATTAAAACTGATAGAAAACGTTTGGTATCGACAGGTGAGTAAAGGTGGTGAGCCTGGTTCGCGTTAACGAGGCTAGCCTTTATTTTCTTTTTTTTTTAAGTCTCCCTAGATCACAACGGGGCGGTTTCCTGTGGAGCCCACAATTGGTTAGGATATACCCTTCTTGTGTACGTAGTTAATGTGAATAAGTGTCGTTCATGGCCGTTCCCGGCTTCCTCTTTGGTTATGATCCAAGTCGAGATTCCTAACCTCCCCCAGAATGTTTTTGGCCGCTTTTTTCATCTCGATTGGGTCGGTTTCTTTTTCCCCCCAGGGTCGTATTTATTTTATCCTCCACACTCCCTTAGCGAGAGAGCCTCTTGATATTGTCTGAAGTCAAAATACAGCGGACTCTCTTATTTGTTTGAGGGTTGGACGGGACTTACTAACATCATTTATTTTTAGTTTGTGTGTTTTGTTATATTTTAGTTTATTTTCGGGTTCACCCCACTCTCTCTTCAATGCTTATCATCAATAATTTTTTTAATATAATTATATACTCAAAAATGTTTATATCATGGGGTATTATTGTAGGTACCCTGTGAGTATGAGGTATTGTATATGTAGAATTGGAATACGATGGACGAGTTTTTTGAAGGATGTACAAATTGTAACGAATGAATGGGTCGTGAGTCTGATTAGCTAGATATGTGTCGACCATCCTCAAGCCATTCCCCCTTTTAGGCCTTATGCCACAACTGATATATTTGTATCAATAAATCTTGAACAGGAGACAGGTGTTGTGGGATTGTTTGACTTCCGCTACTCTGTTGGATGACGGAAACGAATTCAGGAAATTTATTACAAGCAAGTAGAAACTGAATACAATATTACTAGATGACAATTCAACATTGAGGAGGGAGTGAGATAATCTGGAATCGCCAGACATTAATATGACATCTCTATCAGAGAGCTGTTCGAATTCCAGCCGATTCGTTGCGTACATTTTCGAACAACTACCCTTGAGAAAGTTATTAATCCGTCACTTCTCCCCCAGCTAAGAGTTAAATAGCAGCGCTGAGTGAGCTCTCTTGTCTTGATGCGGTAACCAATTTCGGAGAAATAGAACTGAATTTAAAAGAAGAGTGATGAGCTTATCCTATCCTATATACACCACTGCTGCCACCTCCTTGTTGTCTCGACAGCATAAATTTAAGTGTGCTACTAAATTGGCAGTTAGGTCTCATCGTTTCATTCAATAGCTGATATCACCGTAAGTTCCATTCAATAGTTTTTCTCACATTTCTCACCTGTGATATTCTTCAAGTTTATTGCTTCCCTGTCACCCACGATCTTCCAAAATTTAAACTGGCCATCTTATGTCTTCCTGGATTCTGTTCTTTTATCGGCGTTTCTCCTCACGAACTCTCAGTAACCACAAACGTTTTAGGGGCATTAACACCTTGCGTAGTTGATCGATTCATTTTCTACGGCCTATCAACTCTTCACCGGTTATTTAAAGCTATAATTATTTAAAAAAATTTTTTTTAGATAATGATTTAGTGATACAATTCTTAATAATTAACCCATAGCTGGGGGAGAAGAGGTAGTTCATATTCTACCCCAAGAGTATTTGCGCGTGAATTTAACGAACCTAACGGAAATTGGAACAGCTCTCTGATTAACAATTCCAAGCACACCACCCGCACATCCAAGTTTAGAGAACCTGGTATTCCCAAGTGGTCACCAAACGAGGCACTGAGAAGGTTCGATGTTGCTTAACTTCGATGGTTGTACAGGAACCGGTGGTTCAACGCGAGGAGCTTTTCAATAGAAAATGTTTAACTGCCGGAACGTTGTCGGTATTGACATCTAACCGCCTTCTGGGCTCCAATCCAGATTTTCTGTCTGAATTTACTTCCACCGTCTTTTCCGTGTTTTTTTCCTTAAATGGATCCCTTAGTGGGCTGTTCGAATTCCAGCCGATTCGTTGCGTATATTTTCGGACAACTACCCTTGAGAAAGTCATTAATCAGTCACTTCTCCCCCAGCGCTGAGTGAATGTTTTGGATGTGGCCGCAAAGCAGCGGAGGTTTAAAATCAGGTTTTTTCTTTCCCTTAGATGGACTGCTTTTCCGGGCTGACGAACTCCATCCGTCCGAAGCAGCTGATTGTGGGGCTCCAATGGTCCGCCTTTACCCATTCGCTGGCTTAGAGCTGGACTTAGAGGCTAGTTCAGACGCATGTCATGAGAGTATTATATAGACCATAAGAGCCTCTCCACACTACCACCGCCGGCTATGACAACGTTAGGAACATATAAAATGTATTTATATAAGCATTACATATAATAGTTTTAGAGGTGAATATGTAGTTGAATAAAATGTAATTGTACTTTATTTTTTGAGAACTAAACAAAAAAAAGGGGGGAAATTATTTATGGCATCTTAATAGTAATGCAGTTAGAGCCTTAACTCTGGAAGGCTGTCCATCTAGCAACCCCACGACGCATAAATTAAACTAATACCGAATACAGCGTTACTTCGAGTGGTTGCGGCTTTCCCTATCTTCCACGACGAAAAAAGAATAAAAACTGATGGCTCTGAATGCAAAAACCATTTGAACTGTAGTTTGTTATCTACACCGACTTAAAATTAGGTTAAAAGTACTTTTAAGAAGTTGGGCCAGGGAAATAAACAGATAATATAGTTAATTAGGGTGACGGTATCTCTCTCTCTTTTTTTTTTTTTTTAGGCTAGAACGTAGACTGTAATTAGTCGGCAGCTATGGTCCGACGCGGCACTTAACGCCGTAATTGCTTGAGTAAAGAGCAATTAAAATGATGAATTAATACAATAATTTCAAATAAGTTGCGAATGTTGGGAAAACTCAAACCGGAAATGTTACTATGCTGTGCAACGGCCTGTAAACGTTGTTCGGTAAATATTTACTCCACATCGAGATTTTTTTTTTTTTAAAAATACTCAAATATACTAAAAAATATATATAGGTTTCGATCCCGGCTTGAAGCAATCGGATGTCTAGCTACACTGATGAGCTGCGATACAGCGAAACAGTCTGTGGATGACTATATATCCTCCCGGAAATCCGGTCGAGCTCTCGAGGGGAAAGGGTTTTTAAAAAAAACCCAAAAAAAACAGCGGCTCCTACTGCTATTAAGCATTACTCTTCAAGTATGAATTGAGTTTTCCGTGTTTCGTATCGAGAAAACGTTAAAATTCCCTTCCTTTCTGCCGTGCGACGATGACCTAGGGGTAAGATATGTAACTGATGTGAATCAGTCGGGTTTCGATCCCGACTTGAAGCAATCGGACTGAGGATACAGCGAAACAGTCTGTATGCGGATGACCATATACATACATATATATGTTTAAAGTATGCTATATATATATATAATGTTTAAAGTATGCTATATTTATGGGTAAAATTGTTCAATACCAGGAATAGAGCGCATGTAAATATAAAAAGACCCAGTGTTTCATGCATGATCGCAATCTTCAAGATTGGGTTCACGCATGAGAGACTGTCGCCTCAGCCGGTATTGTCCGCTTACACACACACACATATATATATATATATATATATATATATATGTGTGTGTGTGTTGAGAATCCTTTGAAATTTTAGAGACGGAAAGCACTTCGGTTTTCAGATATTTTCGGATTTTGGAATACAGGCTATTTAATATATTAATTGTTTATACATTATTTGTATCTATAAAAATAACGTATAAAAAATAAATATATTAAAATATAGCACACGATATTTCTTTACATTTCATAACACACCTTATACATATACTCTGGATGTAGTTTTATATAAGCGGCATATGTTCAGTCCTACACTGACAAATCCAATCCATCATTACACGAGATAATCATTTTTTGCTGTGCAGTGTTTTTCGTATTTTTCATTAATTTCTGTTCATCATTTTCAGAGTAAAACAATTTCACCTTCTGTTTCCTTAGGTCAGAGATGGTGGTTGTTCCAGCGCCAAATTCCTCAGTCAGAGGCTTCATACTCTCACCCCTGGCTAGTTTTTTTCCCAACAGTTTGAAGTTTTGTGATATTGATAAATATAAATACTTTTTTTTTCTTTTCGCTACACATATGGATATCTGCATTTTGAATAATAACTTTACTGAGCACGAAACACCTGGTAAGTAATCCACAAACAGAGGTGTTGCTGTAATGATTGCTAACAATAAAACAAAACTAGCGTCAACGTAGGCTACATAGCTGGGCTGGGAGCCGCACATCACCTAGGGACCTTCCCAGTGCTTTCTGAAATTTAAAATTTTTGGCAAGTCATATCAACTTTTGAATAAACGATAATCAAGCAGTGTGTGTGTGTGTGTGTGTGTGTGTGTGTGTGTGTGTGTGTGTGTGTGTGTGTGTGTGTGTGTGTGTGTGTAAAATGGAGGCACATGGTCGAATGGTTAGAACTGTTTCATTTCCAAATATTAGACCCGGGTTCGAATCGATCGAAGGTGATTTTCCAATGTTATTGTTATTTTTTTACACTGTAACTAAGGTCTGATCAGCATATTTGCATGTATAAACCCCAGGTGGGCTCTGTGGGCGTTAAAGAAGTACAAATGTGCCTGAGAAGGCATCTGCAGCAGGGAATTGGATAGATATGCTTAGGAAAATAACTTTCCCGCTTTCAACTTAGATATGGAGGAAGGAACTGGTTGGTTACTTAGTTGTGCAGCGATCGTACGGCCACACCCAGTTATGGGACTAGTGAGGATGATTAAGATGATGGACTAGAGATTCACGTATTGAAAAGCATTCATTCCTTTCATTTTTATGCCAACACTCTCAAATTGTTTCGATCGCTGGCGTTCAATAATTTCCAGCGTCTTAAAAACAGAATTAATGCTTTTGAAAAGTAGCTGCGCTAAATAGCAAGCATGGAAAACTATCGAAAAAGACCCGGCTGAAAGAAAGCTCCCGGTTAACATAACAGACAGGCGGCGCATACAGAGATAACCTAAAAATGGAACCTCACCTCCTGTGATATCAACTACGGGAATTGCTCACAGGATTATCCAGGCAACAGCCATCTGAGCAGGACGAGAGAAAAGGTAGCACAGTAAACTTCTTTTCCTCCAGTCACCACTTCTGCATATACACTCGCTGTGTAAAACCTATTTTTCAAAAAGCTTACCAGTCCCTGGCCGTCCTAAAGCAGACGAAAAAGCCTTCCAGGTGTAAAACACTGAGCGTAAACTCACAGTAGGAAATCAACGTACGACAGACTTAGCGACTTCTTGAGTAAACCTAAGGCTGATATTACACAGCCAATATATATTTTTCACCATTATACTTTTAGACCGGTAATTACTGAAACAAGTTATTAAAGGAAATTGTTGTATTAATTACAGTCAAAAGAAAAAAAACAAAAACAAAAGAAAGAAATGAAATCCTTATTTCAATGACTCAGAAAACTTCCATTTGAGTTAATGCCGAATTCACCCTACCCCCGACAACTGACGGAATTCCTTTGTTGAGATTTCAAATTCCAATCCTGGAAGCCAAGAGTCACTCGTTTGAGGATAAATGTTCTCGACACAAATTTGAACAAGATGAAGTTAATCAAGGAAACATGGTATCAATTCACTGTTCACTAATATTAAGAGATGCATGTTGAGAGAGTCCTCATACTCAAAACTGTCCAGCACAAGGCCAGATTGCAATCGTGCATAGTAGAGGAAAGAAGAGGTGGATTCATCCGTTTAGAATACTATTATTGGGACACCCATGTAGAACGGACGGTGTGCGATCATCACTTGAACAAAATTTTGAGAACAAGTGACAACAAACTGGACGTTGAAAACTTCCGGTCGCAGGATCATATTGAGAGAGAGGGAGAGAAAGAGAGAAAGAGAAAGAGAGAAAGAGAGAGAGAGAAAGAGAGAAATAGAGAGAGAGAAAGAGAGAAATAGAGAGAGAGAGATAGAGAGAAATAGAGAGAGAGATAGAGAGAGAAAGAGAGAGAGAGAGAAAAGAGCCGATATGTTTGTCTGAGACACCAGGAGTGGATGATGTTGTCCCCAAGGGTCCCCTATCTGCCTCGACCGTACAAGAGAATTCCTTAAATAAACGAAATATTTTGAACAGTGTTGTTGTGAGAGTGCAACGGGTCTTTCCCGATTTCTGTACAACGACGCGAACGAGAATAGAGATTCAATGTGGCGTTTAATTGTCCGGTCGGTGAAGTATTGGGAAAGCACCGTTGAAGGCATACAACTTTTTCAAGTGCGAAAGTGAACGCAGTAGGATCGGCCGGAATTTGAACTTGGCACGCCAAATTGATGTTACCTTATCCCCCATCTTATGGAACTTAAGCAGAGAATCACTCAGGCGGTGAAGAATGTTACGCAAGACATGCTACAGCGTATTTGGCAGAAACTTGACTACTGACTTGACGGGTGTTGTATCGTAAGTGGTGCTATATTGAAGCTTTGTTAAATCGTTTATAAAATCTACATCACTTTCAATATCTTGCTCGAATTTTGATAAATAAATCTTGCATTGCTCAACATGAAGCTTATTTAATTTCGTTTGCCTAGGACATGGCGTTATTCAGATATTACATTTTAAATGGCATCAATCTTTTTGGGACACACACACACACACACACATATATATATATATATATATATATATACATACATACATACATACATACATTCAAGTCTTCGTTTTCTTTGTTATTGTCTTCCGTCATTCAATATTTGTTTGCGGTTCAATATACCACCCGTCTCTCGACAGCCTGTGCAATACCATCAGGCAAGGCACGGTTGAGGGCGGATGTTGGAGAGGACGCCATCGCAAAAATTCGTTGGACACTGTCGAAAAACAGGCAGGTGTGACAGTCCCAAAATTGCTGGTAGCTGCCGTTGATAGACCGTTTTGGAAAAGTGTGTTTTTTCTGTATTCGGATCCACCCTACGATTACAAAAGTCAAGGGGAAGATGATAATATCATCCGTAACAGGTCAATAAACATTATTACTATCTAATTTTGTAGCTTATGTACATCTTATTGTTGATTTATTATTATTATTATTTTACCAGTATTATCCGAGAGAATTTCCTGTTTGAATTTTCTTTTTCTTGTTGAAATCAAAACAGCGAATCTATGTTATTCTGTCTGTTTAGAATTGGTTTCCGGTTCCTTCTTTCATTTCCAGTGCCCCCCCCCTGCCTCTTACTCTCTAACCCTCTATCACCAGTGGCTCTCGGTCATTGTGCTGGGTAAACATCATTGTGTAATCGTATTTATGAGGTATGGGCAGGGCGTTTCTTTCCTCCTTCTTTCCTTCCTTCATTCATTTTCTTACTGAAACCAAGTAGCGTCACTGATATGTCTTTTCTATGCGATTAAAACAGAACAGTCCATTATTTATGAGGTATTGGCAGGGCGTAACGATCGTGCTAAGTACCTATCTTTGGTTCCTCTTGGTGCACTCGCCAGACAAGTATCATTTTTCGAGTAGTTGTAGGCCCCAAACCCCTGAGGCTTCTCCGTTCCCATATTCCGTAGTTTGTAACGAATGGTGTAGCTTAATTTATTACCTCTTGTATCTACATTCTTGTCTGTAAAATTCTATCTACTCAACTGTCAGTGTCGTATGTATTGATAGCAAGCAGTCCTACCGAACGCACTCATATGTAAACATACCCACCCATTCATCAGGCATTCTTCTTTGGCCGTTAATAAAGTCACAGGAAAAAAATCATAGAAAAAAAACAAAAAAAAAAACATCAATTTTGGGGAGGAAAAGTTACAATTAATGGTGGCCGATAACAAAGTCATATTTCTATCGCGTACTTCACTAGTTTATGGGTCCGCTCTGTTTGCAACAGAAATCCATAGTAGATCGATCCAATCTATAAAAAAAAAAATAATTCATTGTCAGGGAGTGCTAATATCCCATATGATCTGACTTTATGTCGGCACCTCCACAAAATCACTTAAAAATTAGCATACCGTGATGAAAAATATGTTCCAAACCTTATGAAAAAGTTTTATCGTCGAAATCTTAAGAGGAAAGATCAAAGTATTTTTTAACGTTTAATTAAATTTTTTTATCCTTTTTCGGACATACGAAATGTTGATTAAAAAATCTTGTTTTCTTGCGTCAGCATAGCAAAATTTCGCCTCTCTTTTGAATGGCAATAACTTGTAAATTCTTGCAAATAAATGTCGAATTTTAATGAAACTCTCAAGACTTATTCACAAATTAAATTATCTCAGGATTTTTTTTTTTTTTTAGAAAATCTTGGTAAAAAGATTTTGTGTTTCACACCACTTTCAGGAAAATTCGACAAATCCAACGAGATACGGTTTAGTGAAAAGCAAAACTCATTGGAGAATTTAAATAAATTTTTTGTTTTAATCCCGTCTTAGCAAAAATCTGCTCTGAATCGTAAAATAAAAAAAAACAAAAAACGGAGTAAACTGAGGCATTACTTAATAAGAAGAGCTTTTAAATGCTTATATATATATATATATATGACAATATTCTTTTGAGAAAAAAAAACATTTTCGATGAAAAATGATTTTTTGCAAACTTTTTTCATTTTTTTTACAATTTTAATTACAATAATTTATAAAGTTTTATTCTTTTTTTAAATTTAGTTTCAATGGTATAACTGTTAGGGAATATTGTTATTAAGTAAAACTATATTTACTAAACATATATCTTAAAGCTTATTACAATCTGACAACGCGGAGTATTTTTAAAGGTATTTTGTATTGATTTTGTATGTGTAAAAATATGCTGATTTTTGTAGATACGGTTGCCCATACACGACATTATATCAGAAAATAAGATCGATAACTATAGTAAATTTAGAGCCAAAGTCTAAAATTCAGTAGCTCATAAGATTACGGAGAATAATTTCTTAAATTTTTCAGATTACCGAGTACTTAAAAGGCGCTCCCGTTATATTCTTCAATTTTTTACTGTTAAGGCCCCTGTAGACAATGTTAGATAAAAATATATTATCGAGCTGTCACATCTGTTAAAAAGGCTGCCAACATAAATAATCATTTACCGTTGACAATTAAAAACAGATAAAAAAATACACTTCTGCGATATTTTAAACTTAAAGTAAATAATACTTGTTTCAAATCAGAATAATTATATTTTAGACCAGCTAATATTCCTCAAAGTTTCAGTTTTGAAAGATTTAATACAGAGACTTACATTACAATAGTTTATTGAAAATGGCGCGAAATTAAAAAATTTAGAAATGAAAAAAAAAAAAAAACTGCAAAATCAATTTAAATTCGTTTTGAAATACAGCGTAGTATTTTGTTTGTTGAAAATATTAAATTTAATCTATCAACTTGAAATTAAAACTAAAATAAATCTATACCAGTCAATTTGAATTAGTTTTGAAATGCAGCAAAATAATTTGTTTTTTAGAAATATTAAATTCACTATTAATATTTACACTATTTACATCGTTCGGAGTGCAGTCCTCATCTTTATTGCCATATTCGCGACGTTTTCGGCTGGTATAGTCCAGTGGATAAAAGCGTTGGTGGAGTAATACAAAAAACAGTGACTTAACCCAAAGTGTTGAGAGTTCAATACCTGGCCACAGCAGAGGGAACAAAAACTTGGAGAGTTCAGTTACTAAAATGGAATTAACTGAAACTGAAATATCCAAAGAAACCATGACACGTGGAATTAGAATAATCTACCTGCCTGGACTAAAAGAGTCCGGTTCGAAATTTCAAATTCCTGAAGAAGGTCGGAACATACAATGGCCGACAAGTCGTGAAACAGGTAATAATAATGAGGACAACAATTAGAACGGGGTAAATAGTTGCAGAATTATAGATCACCTTGAAATTTAAAATTATAGATCACTTTCAAATTTAAAATTATAGATCACCTTCAAATTTAAAATTATAAATAGTTTCAAGAAAGATGATATTTTTCATTTTTAAAAATCCATTTTAAACCTTAGGTATTACGTTTCTTTGGTGTTACATTAAAATTTGAATTAAAAGTTCCTTAAATTTTCAATTTATTTATGAGACTGTAATTTTGTCCATTTTTAGGATGAGACGCTGGGTTTTTGTCACTAACCTTGTCTAGTTTCTTTTTTTTTTCTTGTGACTTTTTCCCCCCCTTTTACTTGGATTCGTTACTCTGACCTTGATGTTACAATGTTATACTCCGTTGTTTTTACCATTACTGCCATTTCTTTTCAATTACGTCTCTTTCTTCGTATTGTAATTGGTTAAGAAATAACAAAACAAGAGGTTGTAGATAAATAGTGTATTGAACAGTAAATACAACAGAAGTGTGTTACACGACTTGGGAGTGTGTATCGGTTTACCAGCGTTTAGTCTATATCACAGTTAATATTTAACAGCAAAACGAGGAATATGTGTCACAAGGCCGAGTTTAACGTGGGTCATCCGAGCCCGTAGGCTCGGCCAAAAAATCCTCGTAGAACCCGCATAAACGGGTTCGTGTCTGTCTACCTCCATGGACGAAACTCTGCCCTTCGACACAGCATCGTCCGAGTTCATCTCTGCCAAAAGCAGAGAGTTCCACAGGAGCTGCGAACAGCTTCAGTAGAACAGTCTATATCACCGTTATATTTAACGCCCCCACCCACCCACGTGGGTCGTATGTGGCACAAGGCCGGTTTATTGTGGGTTCTCCGAGCCCGTAGGCTCGGCCAAAAATATTCCCTTTGAACCCGTATAAACGGGTTCAGGGCCTGTCTACCACCCCGGACGAAACCTTGCCCTTCGGGTTCCGAGGCGGAGAGTTTGACAGCAATGAACGGTTTAGATCACAGTTTCCCCGAGGCTTATTTTCCTTCTACTTTAGAGTAAGTGGAAGAGTCCATGATAGAGTCATTAGAGTGAAGACACTACAACACTTCGGTGACTTCCAGGACAAGAGAATACCGAATTGGATGGATCAGCTGGCCATATAAATATCTGGGAACTGTTTTAGCAGAAGACGGAAAATGTGGCACAGAAATCCGAAGCTACACTGGAATAACGAAAGAACCCTCGCAAAAGTTACAGGACAAATTCGTTAGAAACAAAGACGAGTGCAGAACTGCAATTTAATATCAATCCTCCTATATAGGCGTGAATGCTGAACAATTTCCAGGTGAATAAAATCGACACAAAACCTATTTATATTTCATCGCAGGATAAATGTCGGGATAACCGGAAGTAGCAGGTTTTATGACAAGAT